ATTCCTCCAATTTGGGGGAACAGGATGGCCAGGGTGGCAGCCTGTATGGGAAACCCTAACACCCTCCTCCCGAGACCCTGGAGTTTTCTCCTACCCCACAGTCATTGGCTCCATCTCCACACATGGCAACGTAGTAACTGGGAAAAGAAGAAAGGAGGAGGAGGAGGAGGAGGAGGAGGAGGAGGAGGAGGAGGAGGAGGAGGAGGAGGAGGAGGAGAAGAAGAAGAAGGAGAAGGAGGCCAATGGTTACTCAATCTCTCTGGGCACGGAGAGACACCCAGGTGGTTTCCTGCCACATGCACCTCCTATGCCTTCCCTCAAGCTGAAAATGGGGCTGCCCCACATCCAGGGGTCCAGGGAGGTCCGTGTTTTCCGCAGCACATAGCCTGGGCGGGCAGCCCTTTTGCTCCTTCCACGGCTCCTCTCTGCCCTCTGACATGGCCAGGAGGCTCTTGTGTTTTTTTTTCCTACGGGGCAGAGGGACCCTCCATTTCCTTCCCTTGCTTGCACAGCATTGCTGTGACTTGGGGCTACTTTTGCGGGGGAAAGGGCAGGGCTGACCCAGGAGACAGTTTTACAGCAGCCTTTTGTGCAGCGGTCAGGAAAAAGAGTTCCCAAGAGGTCATCAGCACTGGAGGTTAGCTAAGCCCGGGAGCAGCAGTGGGGGTGGTCCCCCAAGAAGGGGAGGGAGGACACCAGCTCAGCCCTTCTCCCCTTCTCCCTGGATCACGAGAAGGGACCCACTCGAGTTTCTGAAACTCTTCCACGAGGCTGGACTTCTGCGCTGGAGACATCCGGGCGAAGATCGTTCCATTCAGAAGTACCTGCGGAAAGAAAGAGGCCTCAGTCCGCAAACTGGGCAGACAAGGGCCCAGGAGGACAGGAAGGCAGGGGGGCTCTGAGGCCAGGGAAGGGAAGGGAGGCAAATCAAAATGAAAAGGAGCTGACTCTGGGCTCAGGGCCCACATTAAGGAGCCCCCGCCTCCCCACTCACCTTGGGCAGCAGGCTGCTGAAGTGCTTGACCAGGACCTGGTAAGACGCCCCACTCAAGACAAAGTGGAAGCGCTCGCCCTCCTCTTCTGCACTGGGGTCCTCTAGGGTAATAGGGGGGTCCTGAAAATCAGACTTCAATTACCATCCAGCCCCACTTCGGTGGGGTTCGTGGAAATGAAAGGTATAACGACGGAGTCAATTAATGATGGCTGAATTGTCCCAAGATGGTCAGAGGAACTTGCTCTCTGCTCCCTCCGAGAAATCCCATTTCAAACTGGTCAGCTGCTGCTTGAATCTTCTCTCCCCCCGCCCACCTCCCCTCCCCACGTCATAGGGGCAGGCTCTCTGCCTCCTCCCTCCTCTGAAAGCAAGCCTTGTGATGAAATGTAGTGACAGGTGGATCCTCAGGAGGGAGGGAGGGAGGGAGGAGCAAGAGATAGCTCAGCTCAGAGAGTTTGTGTGGGAGAAAAGGGTGAAGATGGCTCCTCCCTAACAGTTTCCAGAGTGTATGCCTTATAGGGAGGTTAGCCTGCTTTAGCCTGGCAAGATTCTGTCTAGAGAGATCACAAGGGGCCTTTCTTGGCTTTGGAGCCTGACACTCTCTTTGGTTTGAGTCTACGAAACTTGGGCTAGAGCAGTGGTTCTCAACCTTTTTAATGCTGCGACCCCCAACCGGCCGTAAGTCGAGGACTACTCAACCGGTCGTAAGTCGAGGACTACTCAATTGGTGCAGCACCGTGTGCAGAATGGGACTTTTGGCGGGCTCAGCAGGGCAGAGACAGCCTGGACAATTCCTATTGGCTTTGGAAAGCCAATAGAATTAGACTCCATTCAAGAGAGTCTATTCTATTGGCTTTCAAAAGCCAGTAGAATAAAAGGGAGTAGCACAGCTAAGGAAAAGGGGGAAAGAAAATGGCGGACTGCGTTGTTTGGCGACCCCCGTGAAATGGTCGTTCGAACCCAAATGGGGTCCCGGCCACTGGGCTAGAGGGACCAGCATGGTCTTCTCGTAAGAAGGTGATGAGGAACATGGCCAGTCTGGTCCTCTCCTGGCCTACAAACAACCCAGACCGACTTCTTCCAAGCCCTTCCTGCCCACCTTCCTGGGCCACCTCTCCTCCAGGGTGGCTGCCATACCTTGTCTTTGCCCATGAGTGAGGGCGCCTCCTCCTCCTCCACCAGCTGCCAAGTCACGGATGCTGGGCAGGAATCCCCCGGCTCCTGGGCATCCACCAGGACCACCTGGCTGGGGCTGGGCAGCATCCCAGAGCTCCTGGCCACAGTGATGGCTGTCGGGAGGTTGTCGCCTGGGGACAAGGGAGGCTGAGATGAGGGGGAGGGGGCAGCCTTCAAAACAAAATATCTTCCTCACCAACATCAGCACATCTGGAGCCTGATGGACAGACTCTCCCAGAGTACCAATAAAGGAGAATATTTGCAGCTCAGGGTCGAAATGAGGGCTCCTTGGTGCTTTCTGAGCTTGGTGGGTTTTCTTGCAGATGTTTCATCACCCAAACTAGGTAATATCTTCATTGCTAGAAGGGAGGAGGAGGAGGAGGACTGTGGAGTCCTTGGTCTTCTCTGTGCTTGGTTGTTTTCCTCCAGAGGTTTCATGACCTAAACTAGGTAGCATTATCAGTGCTGCAACCCACCACCAAGCTCAGAGGTCACCCAGGACCACTCAAAAGCCCAAATCTTTTTTAAAATAACCAGGAGGTTTGAGATGCGAGTCTGAATATCTAAATGTGGGCCAGGATTCCAGCATTTCTCCATAGCAGCCCAGATCAAAAGAGATCTGGTAAGGTCCGAAGCAGCCCCTTCCCACCGTGGCCTCAAAGATCCCCAATTATCTGCTGTGACAGGATCCCGAGATCTGCGCTTCCAGTTTGGGAGGTCAAGGGAAGTGGGAAAGGTCTAGGAAGCATCGTGTCACTTCTGGAATCAGGCCACAGAGTTGGAGCTGTTAAAGGAAGGAAGAAAAAAGGGTGGGGGGGGGTTGATGGCTGAGGGGAGAAGTAATGGCTAGCAGGCCGTCCTGAGGCCGCTGGACAGAAGCAGCCCCTGGAATGGGGGAGACTCCTGGGGAACCCTCAATGTGATAAGAGGCCAGCAGCCTCTACCTGCTCCTGCCCCAGAAGGCAAGGAGGGACAGGTTCAAAAGACTGTGGATGACTACTTTGGCCAGGGGTGGGCAACCTTGGCTCTTTGGACTTGGGCAGTCCACTGAGCCCCCTCAGCTGCTGTGCAAGGGCTGAGCACACATACAAACAGACAACTGCTCTAGCTGAGGGCTCTCCCTCCCAACACACCTGTGACCATCACGCTCCGGATGCGGGCCTGCCTGAGCTCCTGCAGGACAGGCTTGGTCTCACTTTTCAGGCGGTTCTCCATGACCAGCAGGCCCAGGAAGGTCAGGCCAGACTCCACCTCCTCCCTGTGAGGAGAGACAGGGAAGGGTGGGTTGTCCTCAGCTTACAGAATGTAGAATCACAGAGTTGTAAGGACCTTGGAGATCCTAGTCCAACCCCTCAATACATCATAATAATAGAGTTGGAAGGAACCTTGGAGGTCTTCCAGTCCAACCCCCTGCTCAAGCAGGAGACCTTATCCCGTTCAGGACAAATGACAGTCCAGTCTCTTCTTGAAGACCTCCAGTGATGGAGCACCCACAACTTCTAGAGGCAACTTCTATGCCATTGATTAATTGTCCTCCCTGTCGGGAAATTTCTCCTTAGTTCTAGATTGGATCTTGAATGGTCTTCTACCAGGTAGTACTTCTCCAGAATAGAATACAGAATAACAGAGTTGGAAGGGACCATGGAGGTCTTCTGCTCAAGTAGGAGACCCTCTACCTACCATTTCAGACAAGTGGTTGTCCAGCCTCTTCTTAAAAACTTCCACTGATGGAACAGTCACCACTTCTGGAGGGAAGTCCTTCCACTGATTGATTGTTCTCACCGTGTGGGCTGCTTTGGATCATGTTTTAATGGGGGACCTTTCCCTTTGAAGATACGGCAAGGAGATTCAGCTCCAAAAGTTCCCCAAAGTTGGAACTTTTTCATGTAGAGGTAGAGGAATACAATGGGGTGGTTGTGGGTATGTGTGCTCCAGAGATGCCCAGTTGGGTGCTGGGACTGCAAATATTTCCTTCCCATCACTTGCACTGAAGGTTTCCAAGAAGTCACCTGACAGCCATGTGTCCAGAATGGTCTAGGGCAGGGGTAGGCAACCTGGGCTCTTTTAGGACTCATGGACTTCAACTCCCAGAATTCCTTAGCCAGTTATGCTATGCTGGCTCAGGAATTCTGCCAGTCCATGAGTCCTAAAAGAGCCCAGGTTGCCTACCCCTGGTCTAGGGTCTCCTGGACTAGAAGACCTCTAAGGTCCCTTTGAACCCTATGATGCTATGTTCTGTGTTCTACTCCTCCTCTCCAGTTGCCTTGAACACAAGCTTTTGACAAAGCTAAAATCTGGAGAAATGAGAATATGAACTTGTGAGCTGAAGAGTTGGATCTGGCCGTGTTGCTCCAAAGTCCCCCTGCAAGGGAAGCCAGAGAGGGCTGCAGCTGCCCCTCTGCGTGCTTACCTCTTCAGGTCACTGAAGACCACCCCTTGGGGAAGATCAAGCTTCTTGTGGGCCAAGCCGATGACTCGGAAGCCCTGAGTTGTGAAGTGTTTCAGCTCCGCTTGGAAGATGGTTGGAACTGGGAAAGAGAGGCAGGCTGTGATCAGCGAGGTGAAGATAGTCACCCAACTGCTTGAAGAGGGCTGTAAAGCACTATGAACTGGTATATAAGTCTAAGTGATATTGCTCTTCCTTCCTTCCTTCCTTCCTTCCTTCCTTCCTTCCTTCCTTCCTTCCTTCCTTCCCTTCCTTCCTTCCTTCCTTCCTTTCCTTCCTTCCCTTCCTTCCTTCCTTTCCTTCCCTTCCTTCCTTCCTTCTTTCCTTCCTTCCTTCCTTCCCTGCCCTCCTTCCTTCCTTCCTTTCCTTTCCTTCCTTCCTTCCTTCCTTCCTTCCTTTATTCTATGGTGGCGCAGTAGTTAGAATGCAGCATTGCAAGCTAACTCTGCTCACAGCCAGCAGTTCGATTGTCACCAGCTCAAGGTTGACTCAGTCTTCCGGGGTCGGTAAAATGAGGACCCAGATCGTTGGGGGCGAGAGGCTGACTCTGTAAACTGCTCAAAGTGGTCTGTAAAGCCCTGTGGGGCAGTATATAAGTCTAAGTGTTGTTCCTAAGCCTCCTCAAGGCTGCAACCCCATCTGGTCAGCTCCAAAGGTACACACACAAACATGGTTGAACATGGTGGCCGGACCCCTCCTTGACCAGAGGCTGCTGGTTCTTTGCCCTTACCCGTCCTCTCTTCACAAAAGCCGGCCACCGTCTCCGGGGCTCCCTTCATGTAGAGTTCGAAGTCGCTCTTCCCCAGCTCCTGCGTGATGACCGACATTCTCAGCAAGGAGGACGAAAAGGGGAACTGATGCAGGATGAGGATCCCTTCCACGGGGGCCTGGGGGCAGGGGAGGCAGGCAGAGTTGGGAATCACCCCGAGGAACAGGAGAGACAAAGAAGAGAATTGTTAAGTGAATCAGGCAGTCCTTAAGCGAATCCTGCTTCCCCCATTGTGGTGCTTACTGGAGGCCGACTTGGGAAGGTTGCGAAAGATGGTCCTGTGACCCGGGGACAACGCAACAGACATAAATAGACAAAGGTTGCCAAGCACTCGGAGCGTGTGACGGCGCAAGCACAAGGATGCTGCAACGGTCGTAAGTGTTATGTACTGATATCAAGAGTTAATGTGTTTTAATTTAAACGTGTCTCCAACTGTTTTGGAGGGAAAGTTAAGTTTAAGTTTGAGCGGGAAAACACTGTTTGATTTGATTGGTCGCCACGGCAAGTATAAATAGACGCCATTCTGTCGGTTAAGCCAGTCCTGTTTTCTGTTGCAATAAATCGTGTTGTATTAAACCGGTCTGGTTAATGCCTCCAAAAAAACCCACTATACAATAGTAAGTGTGAAATCCGATCCTGAGTCGCTTTTGTCAGTGCAGTTGTCACTTGGGTGAACAACTTTTAAAGCTAGAGAAGGTGGAACTATTATGGGCTGGGAGATCTGACGAGGAAGAGCTTTCATCTAAAAATGGGGAGACCTCTGCTCCCTCCGAAGCTAAATCCTGGCTCACCGCTACAAAAGGAGACTCCGTGGCATGGGCACCAGCACGCCCTCCGATGCCATTCAGATATTAATCTGACTTTTAAAGCTGTAAAGCTCTACCGTAGTGGCCAAAATTGTGGAAACCTTTTGGGAAAAGTGTACGGTAGAAATGCCAACTTTGGTTACCGTAAATGCCGGCATATAAGGCGACTTCCGCGAGCGCTGAAATCGGCGCCAAAGACGGGAGTCATCTTATACGCCGAGTCATCTTATATGCCGGAAATACTGGTAGTTTCCAGCGTATAAGACGACGTTCTAGGAATGCGGCCTGGCGATAAAGTTGGGGGTCGTCTTATACGCCGGGTCGCCTTGTACGCCGGCATATATGGTAAGTTTCCACCCATTTTTCTTCTAATTTCTTCATAACTGTAGCCTTGTTCGCTTCATAATACTATTTTGCATTGCATTTCCACTGTGCATTTTCATTTGCCAGCCCCTCTTTCTCCTGGGATGGTGATGGCGAACCTTTTAGAGACCAAGTGCCCAAACTGCAACCCCAAACCCACTTATGCATCGTCGAGTGCCAGGTGGGTGTGGCTCATTGAGCGGGTGTGGCCCATTGGGTGGGTGTGGCCCATTGGGTGGGTGTGGCCCATTGGGTGGCCGCGGCAGACTGGGTGGGACTAAAAAGTTCAATCAATCAATTCCAATTTTGCAAGATCTTTTTTTTCCCTGCGAGAAGTTGAAATTGAGTGATTGATTGAACCTTTTTTTTTTGCACACGGCAGCGGAGGCCTAAAGTGAAAAGGTTTTATAAAACCCAGCTGAAGGCCTAGGACTGGGGGGACGGCGCGCGTGCCCACAGAGAGGGCTCTGAGTGCCGCCTCTGGCACCCGTGCCATAGGTTCACCACCACTGTCTTGGGGCAAAGCTGGGCCCGAGAACTGGCTTACTGGGGGAGCAGCAGATCCGGGCTTCACAAGGAGGCAGGACTCGGGGAGGCTGGCTCTGCTCTTGTCCGGCCGGTGCTCTTCCATTTCCTGGCGTGAGAAAGAGCATCAGAAGCATTAGAACAGGGGCCTTCAAACCTGGCCCTTTTGTGGACTTCAGTGCTAGAAGGGAGGGGTGTTGGAGGAGGAGAAGGAGGGGTCTTTGCTGGTCTCTAAGCTTAGTGGTTTTCTTGCAGGCCTTTCATGACCCAACATAGTGCCAGAAGGGAGGAGGAAGAGGAGGAGGAGAAGGAGGGGGGGGGGTTCTTGGTGCTCTCAGCTGGGTTGTTTTCTTTCAGGCCTTTCATGACCCAACTAGGGAACATCATCAGTGCCAGAAGGGAGGAGGAGGAGAAGGAGTTGGTCTCTGAGCTTGGTGGTTTTCTTGCAGACATTTCCTGACCCAACTAGGTAACATCATCAGTGCCAGAAGGGAGGAGGAGGAGGAGGAGGAGGAGGAGGAGGAGGGGTTCTTGGTGCTCTCAGCTGGGTTGTTTTCTTGCAGGCCTTTCATGACCCAACTAGGGAGCATCACCAGTGCCAGAAGGGAGGAGGAGCAGGAAGAGGAGGTGGCCTCTGAGCTTGGTGGTTTTCTTGCAGAGGTTTATTACCAAACCAGGTAACCTCAGATTGGCCAGGGGTCTCCCAAGTCCCTGGAGCATTCCAGCCCTCCCCTCCCCATCCTCAGAGCTTAGCCAAACTGCAGCATCTGCAGCTGATGGGCGAAAGAGAGGGCCAAAGGAATGTCTCCATCCAAGAAAACCTTCTGAAGATTCCTGGTTTGGGGACTCACTTGCTCCCTTCCTGAAAAGCCTCTTTCCATCCCATAATAACCCCTCCCCACTATACAGGGAGCCCAGAACCCAGCAGGTCCCCTGCTGCTGAAAGGGAAGGCTGGCTGCCTTGCCAAGCCCTCCGTGCCCTTCTGAAGCAGGGCAAGGAACAACGCTGGCAGAAAGGTCTCCGGAGGTCCTCCCTGCAGCCAGTGGAGCTGGAGGGGAGCGCAGGGGGGGTTCAAGGAGGAGGGTGGCTTCTTCCCCTCCCCAAAATTCCCCCACCAGAGCTGGAGAACCTCCAGCGTCAGGAGCAGCTGGAGCGGAATCGTGCTCACCCAGTTTGTGCCTTCGAACATCTTCAGGTCCAGTGGGTCTCCCTGGATCTTCCCCTCCAGCAGCAAGAGGGAATGGCAGCTGGCCATGGCTCTGCAGAGCGGCCCCCAGGGCAAGGGGGACCCCAAGAAGCTGTGGGTGCTCTGGAAGCTGAGGGGGAGGTGGGGGTCAGTGCGGGGAGCAGGGCAGAAGGAGGGCAGGTTCCCAGGTGGCTCCCGGGGCAGAGGTGGGCCCTGCCAGTTCCCCTGGGCAGCCGGCAGGACAACGCCAGGCTTCATTGCCTGGCAGGGCCAAGGAAGGGGCACGGAAGGCAGCAGCCCACGTTCCAAGTTCCGGGCCTTCCAATGATCTTCAGCAATCTTGTCGTCTTTAAGCTCAGATCCAATTCCACCCCGTCTTTCTTACCTCTGGTTCTGGCAAGGAAGGGCTCCCCAGAGGTCCAGCCCATCCTCCGTCAGAGTGCCTGTCTGGGTGAAAGAAAGCGCCAGGATTACACCCTGCCAGGTTGGACTGCAGGCACAGCTGCCCCTCTGTTTGTTTGTTCTGATAGCTTTTTGCTTCTTTCAAAGTTAACATGTTTTTTTTTAAAGTACAAGAAGACGAAAACAAAAAAGACAAAGTAAAAAAATTACAAACGCAACAACAAGAAAATATATATATATAAAGAAAAACGTGCCCCCGTATAAAGCCAACTCTAAACATACATCATCCCTGGCTGAAGGTTGACCAATATTTCCACTTGTGAATGGAAACCAAGGGCGGGGGGGGGGACAGGTGGGCTGTCTCAAAGGTGGGGCAGGCCTGAAGAAAAGAGAATTCTGCAGGGTGGAAATGAAAGGTGGATAATAGAATAACAGAGCTGGAAGGGAGCTCGGAGGTCATCTAGTCCAACCCCCGGCTCAAGCAGGAGACCCTGTATAGACCATTTCAGACAAATGGCTATCCTGTCTCTTCTATTGATGGAGCACCCACAGCTTCCGGGGACAAGCTGTTCCTCTGATTAATTGGTCCCGGATTACAGAATAATAAAGTTAGAAGGGATCTTGGAGGTCCTCTAGTCCAGCTCCCAGCTCAAGCAGCAGACCCTCTACCACAGTGGTTCTCAACCTGGGGGTCGGGACCCCATTTGGGGTCGAACGACCATTTCACGGGGGTTGCCAAACAACGCAGTCCGCCATTTTTCCCCCTTTTCCTCAGCTGTGCTACTCCCTTTTATTCTATTGGCTTTTGAAAGCCAATAGAAGAGACTCTCTTGAATAGAGTCTCATTCTATTGGCTTTCAAAAGCCAATAGGAATTGTCCAGGCTGTCTCTGCCCTGCTGAGCCCGCCAAAAGTCCCGTTCTGCAAACGGTGCTACACCAGTCGAGTAGTCCTTGACTTACGACCGGTTGAGTAGTCCTCGACTTACGACCAGTTGGGGGTCGCAGTATTAAAAAGGTTGAGAACCACTGCTATAACATTTCAGACAAGTGGGTGTCCTGTCTCTCCTTAAAAGCCTCCAGCGATGGAGCAGCCCCACCTTCTGGGGGCAACTTCCGTTCCACCAATTAATTGTTCTTAAGTCCTTGCCAAGGGCAGCTACTGTGTACTGAGGGCTTTCACCAGACCTGGAATAGCCCCCCCCCAAGAAGCCAGCCCAGCCTCCCCCGGGGAAGCTTTCCACTCACTCACTCACGCCCTGCACCCACGCACAGACACAATCGCACGGCTGCACCTTATCAAAGCAGACCAGGTTGACCTGGCCGCAGATGTTGATCCTCTGGGGACTGATGCAGAAAATCTTCCTCCTGGTCAGCCTCCGCTGGGCATAGACAATGCTGGTGGTCAAGGCTGCCGGGAGGACTGGAGGGATGGGGACAGTCAGCAGCAGGAGGGCCATGCCCACGGTGTCCGAGGCAGATTGCTGGGAAAGGACGCAATGCAGGTGGGTGTGGGCAGACGGAGCCAGGGAGCCCGTCAAGGGGGCTCAGCTCCCTCCCCACCAGGAAGGTAGCCCTGATCGGGGGGGGGGTGGATGATTGGCAGTGCCGGGCGGGGGGCTCTCTTTCCAAGATGGGGGGAGCCGACCCTGACGTGGGGGGTTGGAAGCAAGGAAAGACTTCGGGAAAGAGGCCGTTACAGGCCATCCTCCTCTTATGACCACAACTGAGCCCAAAATTTCTGTTGCTCAGCAAGACCGGTATTAAGCGGAGTTTGCCCCATTTTGCGACCATTCTTGCCACTGTTGTTAAGCAAATCACTGCAGCTGTTAAATTGCAACAGGGTTGTTAAGTGAATCTGGCTTTGCCCCGTTGACTTTGCTGGTCAGAAGGTGGCAAAAAGGCGATCACGTGACCCCCGGGGACTCTGTGCGACCATCATGAGTATGAGTCAGTTGCCAAGTGCCTCCATTTCGATCACATGACCGGTTGGATGCTGCAATGGCCGTAAGTGTGTAAATAGAATAGAATAGAGTAGAGTACAGTAGAACAGAACAAAATAGAATAGAGTACAGTAGAGTAGAGTAGAACAGAACAGAATAGAACAACAGAACAGAACAGAATGGAAATATAGAATAGAGTAGAGTAGAATAGAATAGAATAGAATAGAATAGAATAGAATAGAATAGAATAGAATAGAATAGAATAGAATAGAATAGAATATGGAATGGAATATAGAATAGAATGGAATAGAATAGAATAGAATAGAATAGAATAGAATAGAATAGAATAGAATAGAATAGAATAGAATAGAACAATAACTTTATTGTCTGCTGTTTGCGGTTGCCTTGAGCTCTTTTCTCGCTTTGTGTGCCTGGACAGGCTGCAGCAGAGCCCAGCCAGACAGAGGGAGGAGACCGCCACTAGCAGCAATGGCAGCCTTGGGTCTCCTGCTTGCCCATGAAGTTTTGCATTTGGGGGGGGGCTGTTTCTGGGACCCACCTCCTGGATCACATACACGCAGATGGTGTAGATCATCCCCAGGATCCCAATCACAGCCAGGCCCACGATGAACCGGAAGGCTTCTTGGTAGAGCCGGAAGTTCACTGGCTTTGGGTACAGGATGGACCTCACCAGTTCCCCCTTGGTGGTGTTGAAGCCTGCAGGGAAAGAGGCAGCAGTAAGGGGAGTAACAGAAAAACAGAGTTGGAAGGGCCCTTTGAGGTCCTCTAGTCCAACCCCCCCTCCCCTCTCAAGCTGGAGATCCTACACCTTTTCAGATGAATGGTTAATAGTAGTAGTAGTAGTAGTAGTAGTAGTAGTAGTAGTAATAATAATAATAATAATAATAATAATAATAATAATAATAATAATAATAATAAAGTTGGAAGGGACCTTGGAGGTCATCTAGTCCAACCCCCTGTTCAGGCAGGAAACCCTACACCATTTCAGACAAATGGCTGTCCAGTCTCCTCTTAAAAATCTCCAGCAATGGAGTACACACAACTTCTGAAAGCAAGAAGTTCCACTGACTAATTGTTCTGTCAGGAAATTTCTCTTTAGTTCCAGGTTGCTTCTCTCCTTGCTCAGTTTTCACCCATTGTTCTTGTCCTGCCCTCAGGAGCTTTGGAGAATAGCTTGACTCCCTCTTCTTTGGGGCAGCCCCTCAAATAGTTCTTTTCATTAAAGTAGACATACCCAATTCCTGCAATCGTTCTTTGTACATTTTAGCCTCCAGATTCCTGATCATCTTTGTTGCTCTTCTCTGGACTCTTTCTAGAGTCTCAACGTCTTTTTTATATCATGGGGACCAAAACTGGATGCCGTATTCCAAGTGTGGCCTTCCCAAGGCCTTGTAAATTGGTGCTAGAATTTCAGTTGATCAACATTTGTCTAAATTGCCTGGGGGCAAAGACAGCCTCAAAGTTTAATTAAGTTTAATTGATTAAAGAGCCGAGGTGGCGCAGCAGTTAGAGTGCAGTACTGCAGACCACTTTAGCTGACTGTGTTCAGCAGGTCAGCGGTTCAAATCTCACCGGCTCAAGGTTGACTCAGCCTTCCATCCTTCCGGGGTAGGTAAAATGAGGACCCAGATTGTTGGGGGCAATGTAAATATATATATACATTGCTTACTGGTGTACACCGCTTAGAGAGTGCTTGTACTTAAAGCGGTATATAAGTCTCATAAATAAATAAACAAACAAACAAACAAACAAATAAATAAATAAATAAATAAATAAATAAAGGTCTGGACACTAAAATGTATGCAGAACAGCTGCAGGAATTGGCTTTGGCCAGTCTAGAGAAAAGGAGGATTGGGGGCAACATGATGGAAGTGTTCCAGTATTTGAAAGGCTGCCACAAAGAAGAGGGGGTCCAGCTATTCTCCAAAGCAGCAGAAAACAAGACAAGAAACCATGGATGGAAACTAATCCAGGAGAGAAGCAACCTGGAGGAATTTCCTGACAAGGACGACAATCAATCGGTGGAATACAAGTTGCCTCCAGAAGCTGTGGATGCTCCAACACTGAACGTTTTTAAGAAGAGACTGGACAACCACTTCTTGACAGACATCTGGGGGTTTTTGGAGGTGGGATGGATTACCAACACCTGAAAATGATTGGCCAACAGGTAGATCAGGTGCCCACATTTCCAACCTGCTCCTTAACTGAAAAATGTTAAGAGTTCTGAATTTTTAAATTATGAGTGAAAGTCATGATTTAACCTCTACCTGAGAACTTCAAGGCCAACTGGATCTGTAATCAAGAATGTTGTGAATGTAAATAGTAAAGTCCAGGAGTCTTTCACTCTGCTTCACTATAGCAATTTTACAACCTGTGGACTACAACTCCCAGAATTCCTGAGCCAACATAGCTGGCTCAGGAATTCTGGGAGTTGTAGTCCACAGATCATAAAGTTATCATAACTTCCGACGACAGTTCTCTTTACATGCTCACGTTTGAGCACCGAATATCCCTTCCATCTGGGGGTGGACAGCTACGTACTTCATCCCATCCTACGTGTGCACAAAGGAGCTGCCAGGGACCGCCACCACCTGAGCTTTCTCCAAGGTGGTTCTGCACTCACCTGTTTGCAGCACAACCGCCCGGACTGGTCCTGGTCCCGCCCGCCTGGTCTGGATCACCTCCGTGCCACAGAAGAGGACATGTCGCCGATAATCGCCCATCCCATACACCTTCCAGGGCAGGGTGTTGTTGAAGTGAGGCAGGGGGGTCTTTGAGACCGGAACGCTCTCACCTAAAGGCCACAGGAAAGCCCACCCAGTTCAGTACCCCTCCTCAATATGGAGCTGAAGGGGCATGACAAGCTATCGGCAGCTGCCCCAAGGAAGCTACAAGCCCAAGTCTGATCCAGGGAGAGAAAAGATGGGGAATGGAGTTGAGGGGGGCAGGAGACTAGACCCCTCTTTCTGCCCACCAGACCCACAGGTTGGGGGCCAGGGGGAGGGCTTCTTGGCTCTGTTTCTACCATCGTCTGCTGGTGGGTCTCCAAGCAAACGTGAAGCTAAGAAGGCCAGGAAGGGTCTTCAAGGATAGACATCTTCAGGCAGGTGGCTTGCAAAGGGGAGACGCAGCCTGATTGGGAACGCTCTCCCGGTTGGATAGCCACAGCTGCTCAGTGACCCCGTGGTGCAAGTCCTCCCCATCATTAGACCGCCAGCATTTTATGCCCACTGCCCCCACTCCGTGTGCATATACACCAACACACTGTGGGAAGTAAGTCCCCCCCCCAGAGAAAGAAATATTTTGGGGAATATTAAAAGGCAGAATATTATATTTCCCCAAAGGATCTTAAAGGCAGAACCCTCCCCCCCCCAAGTCTCTCTGCCCTGAACAGAAACCAGGTCTGCAGAAATGTAGATGTGATAATCTTGTCAGATAGACAGGAATCAGGAAGCTGGGATTAGAAAGACAAAGATCCCTAGAATCAACACCAAAAATCTAAGAGTCATCAGCTGCAGTTCCAGGGAAGGAGGATATGACATTTGAGACAATAGGATTAACCCACCACCATCAGAATACCAGAAAGGCATACTCAGACTGAGGTCAAATTCATGCCACAGGAACTCCAAACAAAAGCCCAATAAGGGATAAAAACACACCACTCCCTACTACATGTGGTCAGTTTTTTTCCAGAGCCATCTTTCTGTCTGGCTCTCCTCTTCAATAAACTGCAACCTTCTTTCTAAAGCAGTCTCCATGTTGTTTATTCCCAGCTTGGACTGGACCCTGATGAAGATTTTCCTTCAACAACACCCACACTCTGCCAGGGTCCGTCCTACGAGACTCTCAGGGCTTATGGAGATGCTTCGTCATCCAGGTCATGGTTATCTCAAAAATGCTTTTCAAAAAGCAGCTGGACCTTTCTAGTTTTCATTCTTGAAAACGTTTCACTTCTCGTCCAAGAAGCTTCTTCAGTTCTGAAGTCGTTCTAGAACCAAACAAGCTTCTTGAACGAGAAGCAAAATGTTTTCAGTAAAAAGCTAAGAAACTCCAGTGGCGTTTTTAAAAGCTCCTTTGGGGATCCTGCCAGACCCCTTTCCCTGCCCACCAGACCCACAGGCCGTGGGGAGCAGAAGCACCCCTAGATGCTTGTACCCGTGAGCATCCCCTCGTTGACCACGCAGCTTCCCTCCAGCAGGATGGCATCGCAGGGCAGGGAGAACCGCTGGCCTTCCAGGAGAAGGAGGTCCCCCGGGACTAGGTGATGGGACTCCATGGTGGAGCTGCCTGAAGAGGGCGAGAAAAGAGGGCGGAGGGATGCACCCCTGGACCCTTCGCTCCAAGTCTTTCGGTGTGTGGGGGAGGCCAGGAGATGTTGGCTGTTCCAGGAACTGCTGTCGTTTGGGAAGGAAATGGGTGGGGGGTCTTCTCTGAAGGCCTCTTCTGGCCATCCAGAGGGAGGCGCTCTGCCTCCGTGACATGCTGTTGGTGTGACCAGGGAGTCCCTGTGGAAGCCCCCTCCCCAAGGGCCCAGCAGTCATCATAAAGGGCTGGGCTGGGAGAAAGAGAGGGGCAGGGGTATTGGGGGGTGGGGGCACCACACCCACCTTCGTCTTTCGTCCAGACTGTGACTTGCACCTGGTTGTGCTCCTTCACCAGATTGTGCAGCTTGATGGATTGCTGGGGGGGGGAGGTGGGGAGAAGGTTAAAGGGCTGGGAGGTCTGTCTCTGGCTGCCTCTTTCTTCCCAGCCCCCCCCCCCCCAGGAAAGAGAAGGCTAGTCCAGGTCCTGGAATGCATCAGATTTGCCAAATCTTATCGGTCTCTGCCCCCCCCCCATCAGCAAGGCACCCACACAAGGGCCTGGACTCCCCCTTTCATCATCAGCCAAGCTGGGAGGGGGGCAGGGACATTGGGCTCCCGGGGGCTCCCTGACCTGCCCAAAAAACCCCAAAAGGGTCTCGTTCAGCTCCATGACAAACTGGGAGGAAGAGAGCTAAGACCAGAATGCAAAACACCTCCCCCCCCAAAAAAAAAGCAGCTGCTGCAAGGCCCTTGTGGGAAAGCAGAAGGGGGAAGACCCCCTCCCCACATTGACCCCCAAGGGGAAAACTTTGCAGGATCCCCTCCCAGCCACATCCAGTCCCCAAACGGGCTCATCGCCCCAAAGACAGCTTTGCATCCCAGGAAGTGCAGAGTCCCCTGAGCATGTGCAGAGTCCCCTGAGCAGGCCACTCCATCTCTGAACAAAGCCAGAGGAAAGAGACTCACTGGACCACAGCTGCTGACCAGTCCCTCCCACTCCTCTGCCTCCCTCACAGGGTTGTGGTGGGGGGGGAATTGGAGGGGGGCTGCCTGCATTGCTGAGGGTCTGGGGGAGAGGCAAGGCATTGATCAAACAGTGAAATAAGCAGGGAGGGTGGGGCAGCCACCCCTCCTCTGTCCAGTGGCCAGGGCAGGGGGGAGAGCTGACCTGCCGGAGGTCGTAGATGGTGAGTCCAATGGAGATGACAGAGAGGACGATGATGGCCGAGGAATACACCATGTAGCCCTGGGTGTACCAGAGGATCAGGGTGAAGGCTTGGAAGACGTAGAAGGGGTTCAGGATCTGCCAGCAGAGCAACGGGCGGGAGGTCAGGGCAGCCGTGGGGTGCCCTCCAAGCCCCCACAGGCGCTGAGGAGCCGTGCAGCAACCGCCCTTCGCAAGAGCAGCCGTGGCGTTGGCAGGGCAGGCTGGCGTCCTCAAGTCACCCGTGGCCCTCTCAGAGCACCTGTGGCCCAGGCCCCTACAAGCCAGGTCTGACCTGCCCCCGGAGCAGCAGCAAGCCAGCCCTAGGCCAGCCCCTGGTTGCCCCGGGGGCTCGGCCCTCTGCCAGGCATTTACTGTGCCAAGACTCCGGCCTCCTGGCCAGGGTTCAGCTGCCCCCCCCCCCCCCGCTGCCCAGCACCCACAGCTGAGCTGGCTCTGCTCTGAGGGGACCCCGAGATGCTCTTGGGCCTCACAAGCAGCGGGCACTGTGCCAGGCTTTTGGGGAGAAGAGCTTCTGGCGTTCCTCAGTTTCCGGAGAGGAACGTCCCGGTCCCTGGAGGAGGGAGAAGCCCCCCCCCCAAGGGTCTGAATCCGCTCTTCAGCGTCTTTGTGTTGGTCTGAGACCTCCCAGAAGCAAGAGGTCAGGCTTTGGCCCTTCCTCCTGGCTGTCGTCCCCCAAGGCTGGGCAGAGAGGGGGGGGCGGTCACCTCTTTGAAGAGCAGCTTCCAGATGGGGCGGATTTCAATCTCGATGGCGTTGGGGCCGCAGACGGAGCTCCTGGAAGGCAGGAGGGGGGGCTGCCTCAGGCTGCAGCAGCAGCCCGGGGTGGGAGGCAAGGCAGAGGGACCCCCCACCAGCTGGCCCAGAGGGGAAGAAGGGCTCGCCCCTCGGAAGGAGGAACACCCCCCTCCCCGCCAGGGCGAGGGAGCTCCCCCCCCCCAGACAGGAGATTTGCAGCCCTCTGCCCTTGAAGAAGGTCACCCACTTCCACCTCTTCCTGGTTGCCTTTACTGAACGACTAAAACACCAAGAGGGAGGGAGGGAGGAAGGATGGAATGGGACAGAGGAGAAGTAGAAATAAAATAAGGAAAGTAGAAATAAAATAGAGAGGGAGGGAGAGATGGAGGGAGGGGACGGAGGAAGGGACGGAGGGAGGGAGGGAGGGAGGAAGGAAGGAAGGAAGGAAGGAAGGAAGGGAGGGAGGGAGGGGACAGAGAAATAGACATAAAATAAGGAAAGTAGAAATAAAATAGGGAGGGAGGGAGGGAAGGAGGAAGGAAGGAAAATCTTGTGTCCATCCATGAATTCTACATGTGTGCTTGCATGTGTGATGCTTGAGAAAAAAATTAAATGCAACATTTGCAACACACAACAATAGACAACATGCAGGGTAACTTTTCTAACACTACAGTTGTTTTAAGTCACAACTCTGGGTGAAGATTACTTCAGCCTCACCAACCTCCGGATCCCTAATTACAACAGAAGCAAAGGAGGAAGGCTCTCTCTCTCTCTCTCTCTCTCTCTCTCTCTCTCTCTCTCTCTCTCTCTCTCTCTGTGTGTGTGTGTGTGTGTGTGTGTGTGTGTGTGTGTGTGTGTGTGTGTGCTGGTTGCACAGGAGGAGTGTACCTGAGTGCCTTTTCCCTCCTTTCCAGCCCACCTCCAAATTGGTGGTGAACTTGGTAGCAGGTGTTGCCGTCCTCAAGTGACCTGGAAAAGAAGCCACACGGAAACATGGGGGGGGGGTGACTGGGCAGGAGGGACCCTCCGGCCAGTCCTTCTCCTCCTCCTCCTCCTCTGAAGAAGAAGAAGTGAAAAACTCACCCAGCCCGGGCAAACTGTTTCTCAGAAAAATCCCAGAGATAGCGTATTTTTTGTACCTGGACATATCTCCCCTATAAGAGCAACACATCATGAAAACATTAGGAGGCCAGGGGTCCCGGCCAGCCTCCCCTTGCCCCCCCCTTCCGCCAGGCCTGGGGGCAGGAGGGCGACCTTTGGAGACAGGCAGCAGGCTCAGGATGCCTGGGGCTCTGCTCGGCCTGGGTAAGGGTCAAGGGGGCAGGAGATCAGCCCCCACCTCACCCTCCCCAGCTGAACTCCCTCTGCCTCCTTCCGCCCTGAGGGCACCAGGAAGTGCCAGGGTGTCCAGAGTTGACTTCTAGAAGCAGCCCCCCAAGGCGACGTGTTCTTCCTGAATGGGTCCTGGGCTGGTGGGGCACCTGGAGGCCTTAAACGGGAAAGGGGATGCAGGCAAAGTCTGCAGGGGCCTCCAGGTGGAGGGCTGCCAAGGTTTCCACAGGTGGAGGTGGCTCCCTTGCACCTCGCTCTGGCCTCAGGCTGTGCCTCATGGAACTGGCCCAGCAGGAAGGAGAGCAAAACAAGCTTGGAGGCTCTTTGTAGTGTTTCACACACACACACACACACACACACACACACACAAGCAGCCCCCACTTGCTCCCAGGTAACGCCTGGCTTACTTTCATGTCAGGCATCTTGATGGCTTTCCATAGGACTGAATGCTTTTCTTTGCTGAAGCCCTGATCCGATTCTTCACAGCCCAACAGATCCCGGAAATCGAGGCAGATCACCCGCTTCCGAGTGTATCTCTTGCTCTCATCCTGAGGAAAGGGAAAAGGAGGGAAGGAGAGACGCTCCGGCTGAATCTGGAAATTCGGCCAGGGATTATTCCGTTAGAGCGGGACTGGTTTGATCCCTCCAGCAAGAGACTGGGTTCCAGATCCTCTTTCTTAACTATTTACTTACTTATTAAATTTATTTGTTACCCTCTCAGCACGGGTGACTTTGGGCAACTTACAACATTAAAATTATGCCTAGGTCTTTTAGAGAGTTGCATTAACAGAGGGATCCAATCAAGATCACATGAGGTACTAATACCGCTCTATAAAGCCTTAATAAGATCATACTTGAAATACTGCAAACCAGGTTGGTCTCCACACTATAAAAAAGATGTTGAGACTCTAGAAAGAGTGCAGAGAAGAGCAACCAAGAGGATCAGGGGACTGGAGGCTAAAACATATGAAGGATGGTTGCTGGAATTGGGTATGTCTAGTTTAATGAAGAGAAGGGGGGACAGGATAGCAGCCTTCCAGTATCTCAGGGGCTGCCCCAAAGAAGAGGGAGTCAAGCTATTCTCCAAAGCGCCTGAAGGCAGGACAAGAAGCAACGGATGGAAACTCATCAAGGAGAGAAGCAACCTGGAATTAAGGAGAAATTTCCTGACAGTGAGAACAATTAACCAGTGGAACCACCTGCCTCCAGAAGTTGTGGGAGGTTCATCACTGGAAGCTTTCAAGAAGAGACTGGACTGCCATCTATCAGAAATGGTGTGGGGTCTCCTGCTTGGGCAGGAGGCTGGACTAGATGACCTACAAGGTCCCTTCCAATTCTGATTCTGATTTTGATTCGGACAGGGAGGAGGAGGAGCTGGACCAGGACCAGGACCAGGACCAGGAGCAAGGCGGAGGGGCTCCAGTACCCAGCATTAGATCAGAATAAGGAAGAAAGCACCAATCCTGAATGCTGTGGTGGATTCAGTTTCCCACCCGGCCAATCTCTGAATTTCTATAAATCAAATACAGTCTGATCTTGTGGCCCAACGAATGAAACAAACAAAATAGTTGTGACTTGCAGAAGCCACGGCTTTCCTCTGAAGAAGGAGAAGCTGAAATGGCTCTCCAAGCTCTGTCTGTGTCCAGGGCAGAAGACATGAAGCCTAAGGAAGGACTGCACATAACACGGAGAGAATCGGGTTGCTTCGGGAGAATAAAAGGGACCTACTGTGGTTCTGAGCAGCACCACGTCGGCCTCTTCCAAGCTGCAGGGCTGGCAGTTGGCCCAGACATCCCACTCGGGTTTCCAGTGGAAGAGAAGCAGGAGGCCTCCGCAGGACAGGACGTAGCCAGCCAGGCACAGGGCCCTCCGGAAGCCGTGGGTCTTGTAGCCAAATATCTCCTGGAAGGAAAGAGATTGCCGTGAAGAGAGCGCTTCCCACTCAATCTGTGGGAAGGCTCAGTCCTTGTAAAAACTCATCTCTCTTCAAAATAATCAACCTGTAGGACAACAGATAGCAGAACCTGGGGCGGAGTCAACAGAGGTGTTGAAAGAAAAATCTTCTTCAGGGTCCAGTCCAAGCCGGGAATAAACAAAATGGAGACTGCTTTAGAAAGAAGGTTACAGTTGATTGAAGAGCAGAGCCAGACAGAAATGGGACTCTGGGAAAGCTGACCCCATGTAGCTGGGAGTGGTGGGTTTTTATACTTTTCTGGGCTTTTGGGTTTGAGGTTGTTTCCTGTTCCTGTGGCATGAACCTTGACCTGAGCTTTTGAGCATGTCCAGGCCTGCGTCACAAGCAATTCAAGGTGGATGATGTGAAGCTGTTGTGGCCTTTGCTACTCTCCAGTAAATAAGCCTGGGGCCACTTCCTTGCTGGCTGAGCTGAACCACAGGTGAGTCAGCTCCAATTTGCAACGGGGTGTGCTGGGTGCAAAACAAGCCAGAAACTGGCCGTGCTATTTGCTAACAATGATTGCCAAGGAACATGATGATTTTAGGCAATTATTATGAGCCAACTGACCATGGATCTGAACTCAGATACCACTCAGTAGCTTAATTCACCCAAGGATCCTGGAAGAGGTAATTGAAGATCAGGGGAGCAATTGACACAGCCACCCAACCGGCTTGGCCAGGTCAGTGAAAGACTCAAGACTCTTGTGGACCTCAGTTAGGCTTTTATGGGGCTTCATCAATCAATCAGCCTTGCGTCACAGGCCAGAATTAGAGGCTTAATGCTTTTTGTGAATCCTGGCTGGATGGTTAGTTTTGGATTCTATGTACCGGAAAGCGGTCAGCACAGCAACTCCCAAAGGGGCTTTTTTCAAGAGGCAACTTCCTTTGTTTTTCCTTGAAGACGTTTCGCTTCTCACCCAAAAAGCTTTTTCAGTTCTAGCTGAGTGTCAGAAAAGAAGCAGCTCCTTGGAGGAGAAGCAAAACGTCTTCAAGGAAAAACAAAGGAAGTCCAGTTGCCTCTTGAAGAGTGAACAGAAAGATTTAAAAACAAATCAATTCCTGGAAACTTTTGCCAACAGGATTGTGTTTCAACAAATATTTCTGGAGAAAAGCGCATCTAAGAACAATTGAGCTGAAAGCAAACAAACTGCAGCCAGCTCTGACTAAGCTAAGATGGGCCAAGAGAGGCCAGCCAGGGACAGGGTCAGGACCTCTGGGTGGACACTACAAGGGAGAGTTTCAGGCTGGACGTCAGGAGGAAGGGCACCACAGTAGGAAGGCTCACCGGTGGGACAGACTGCCCAGGAAGGGGCAGGACAGGCTGCCTCGCTTGCCAGCTCTGCCGTGGGGCCGGAGCTCTCCAAGGACACTGGAGATGCTTCCCACCCTGGCCACGATCCTGGCAGGAAGCTGCCTCCGCCCGGCTGGGTTCCTTGAGGACCCTTGCTGGGGCAGCCCTGGGCTGACAAAGGGGCCTGCACGTTGGGGTGGGGAGAACCTAGGGGAGCAGGCTGAGCCCCAGGCATGCCCAGCCCTCTTTACCAGGAACTGGTCAGGGTGCAAGGCACAGGGGGTGGGGCATTGGCTCTCTGAGGCAGTGCACTGTGGAGATGCCCCTCCTTCCAAGAGCAGACCCCCATGGAGATGGAGACTCTTCCTCCTCTTCCTCTTCCTCCTCCTCCTCCTCCTCCTCCTCCTCCTCCTCCTTCCCTGGTTGCAGAGCAACTGCTGGCCACCAGGAGCCGCCTGCACTAGAAGCCAAAGAACTGAGGAAGCTTCTTGGATGAGAAGCGAAACATTTTCAAGGAAAAAACCCAAGAAAGTCCAGTTGCCTTTTGGAAAAAAGCACCTTTGGGACAACCATGATCCGGATCAGTGGTGGCGAACCTATGGAACGCGTGCCAGAGGCGGCACTCAGAGCCCTCTCTGTGGGCACGCACACCGTCGCCCCAATCTCACTTCCCCCCATGACCTCCTCCTCACCAGCAGCCCCCCCCCCAGAGGAGAGTCACCCCCGGGAATGGGCCGCATGGAGCAGAGCAGCCAAGATTATGGGAGCTGGGCAGCAGGAACAAGACTCCACCCTCGTGCCCCATTGCGCGCATGATGCTGTGGGGCGTGGGAGGAGGGCGTGGCAGCCATGGCACTGCAGGGCCGCCTGGGCGATCTGCGGTGGGCCGTGGAGGCAGTGGGTGGCTCTATGGGTGGGTGGGGCAGGGCGGGGTGGGGCAGGGCAGCCAGAGGGTAGAGCGGGGGCAGAGTGGGAGTGGGCTGGGGGTGGGGCGGTTTTTGGGCACTCAGTTTCTAAAAGGTTCACCATCACTGATCTGGATGATGGAGACTCTCCAGAGACATCTAGAATAAATGGACCAGGAGAGGAGGCAGCGCTACGGATGGGCAATCGGGAGGGAGGAACGGAGGAGCGTAGAATCCCCTGGAGATCCAGGTGGGATCAAACCCCCCCCCCAGTGCAGAAAGAGGCAGAGGGGGGTTCGCAAAGACTTCCTTTGCAAGCAACAGAGGCTCCAAGGAACCGGAGGGCAGCTGTGCCCGTGGCATCGCCCGACTCACCAGTTCAGAATCTCACAGGAGCCAGGAAGAGAGGGAGAAAGGCCCCCTCAGTCAACCAGGGGACTGCGGAAAAGATAATTACTCCAATTGAAGAGTATATCCTCCATTAAGTGAAGAGGCGGGATTGGCTTTGAGCCAAACCTTTATGGCTGCTGCAAAGCCAGAATCCAAACGCCTCAAGGCAGGAAGACTTTTGCCACCGGGCAAGAAAGAGATCACAATCAAGCAAGTCGGAGAAATGGAGGAAAGCTAGAGAAGTCCTGGTCCTTTGGGTTGTCCTTTCAGAGAGAGTTCCTTCCCCAAACAGATGCACAGGATGGCCACAGGCAGTGGAAGCAGGACTGACTTCTGACTTCCAGCTGGCTTCCCCACTGAGTTTCCTTGTGGGAGGTTGGCAGAGAGAAAGTCAGTGGGGAAACTGGCAGGGGAGGCCACGACTTGCTCTGGTAAATTTCCCCCATCTGTGCACATTCCCTAGCACAGCCCTGAGCACCCTCAATCAATCAATCAATCAATCAGAATAGAGCTGGAAGGGAACTTGGAGGTCTTGGAGGCCAACCCCCTGCTCAAACAGCAGACCCTAGACCAGGGGTAGGCAACCTTGGCTCTTTTATGACTCGTGGACTTCAACTCCCAGAATTCCTGAGCCAGCATGGGGGAACTATGGCCCCTTCATGACTCATGGACTTCAACTCCCAGAATTCCTGAGCCAGCATGGGGGAACTATGGGCCCCTCATGACTCGTGGACTTCAACTCCCAGAATTCCTGAGCCAGCGTGGGGGAACTATGGCCCCCTCATGACTCGTGGACTTCAACTCCCAGAATTCCTGAGCCAGCGTGGGGGGACTATGGCCCCTTCATGACTTGTGGACTTCAACTCCCAGAATTCCTGAGCCAGCGTGGGGCAAGTATGGCTCCTTCATGACTTGTGGACTTCAACTCCCAGAATTCCTCAGCCAGCATGGCTCAGCTTGGAAACCTCTCCCTTTCCCCTCAGCACGGCTGGCTCAGGAATTCTGGGAGTTGAAGTCCACCAGTCATAAAAGAGCCAAGGTTGCCTACCCCTGCCCTATACCATTTCAGACCAGTGGCTGTCCAGTCTGTTCTTGAAAGTCTTCAGTGTTGGAGCACCCATAATTTCTAGAGGCAAGCTGTTCCACTGAATTAATTGTCCTCAATTGTTCTCCTTAATTTCAGGCTGCTTCTCCCCTAGATTAGTTTCCAACTGTTGTTTCTCACCCTGCCTTCGGGGGCTTTGGAAAAACAAGTTGACCCCTCACCCCCTTCTTTGTGGCAGCACCACAAATACTGGAAGGCTGCCATCATGTCACCACTAATCCTTCCATCCATCAGTTTATTATTACAACCATAGGCCAAACACATAAAATTAAATTTTTATTGTCCTATCTGTCAGTCTCTCTGAAAGGAGGGAGGTTTTGTTATACTGTCTGTAAAACTAGGCAGACTTTGGACACTGATTGATTACATCATTAATTGTAATATATTGCTACGCCTTCTTGTGTTCGGTTCCCTTTAGTTCTGGTTTATATGAATAGTCCTTCTTTTCTCTAGACTAGCCGCACCCAATTCCTGCAACCGTTCCTCACGTGGTTTAATCTCCAGGCCTTTGTTCATCTTAGTTGTTCTTCTTTAGTTTTTCCCTCCCTGACCCCCATCCTCCCACTCCTTCTCCAATCTGTGCAGCACCCTTATGAATTTCCTGTGGCACTCACCACACCTTTCATGCACCACCTCACACCCTCATCTGCCTCTCACCTCTTGCACACCCATGCACACCCTTCCCCACCCCTATCATAACTCATGCACCTCCTCGTTCCCTTCCCCAACTTGGACTTCCACGTGGATTTTGGCTGATGAGAAGCTGTCAGTGAGCACTAGAAATGACAACACATAACCAGAGCTGACTGTGGTAGTAAGAGCCATGGCTTTCCCAAATTTCAGCCCCAGGAGAATAAGAAGTCCCAAATTTTGGATACATTCTGTAAATTAGCTAACTTAAAGTACAATTGGTTCAAAGATTGCTGCCCTGTTATGCACTGTTTTTCCCAGCTGAAGGTTTGTTGTTGTTAGTTGCAAAGTCGTGTCCGACCCATTGTGACCCCATGGACAAGGTTCCTCCAGGCCTTCCTGTCCTCTGCCATCTTCTGGAGTCCACTGAAGCTCACGCCTGCTGCTTCAGGGACTCCATCCAGCCACCTCATTCTCTGTCATCCCCTTCTTCTCTTGCCCTCAATTTTTCCCAGCATCAGGCTCTTCTCCAGGGAGTCCTTCCTTCTCATTAGGTGGCCAAAGTATTTGAGTTTCAACTTCAGGATCTGGCCTTCTAAAGAGCAGTTGGGGTTGATCTCCTCTA